TGAGTTGTACCATAATTAAGAAACTAGTAATCTCATCAATTTGAATATCTTATTAACTACACTGTATTGATAATTAACCTGTAACAAGGCTATGGCTTTCTTCTTGTATGTAATAGAATCATAGAAAATTAGGGTTGGAAGGGACCTCTGGATGTCATAGAATCATAGAAGTCAGGTCAGAAGGGACCTTGTAGATCTTCAAGTCCGACCCCCTGCCTGGGCAGGAAGAAAACTGGGCTCAAGTGACCCCAGCCAAGTAGGCATCAAGCCGCTTCTTAAGACCCCCAGGGTAGGAGCCAGCACCACTTCCCTTGGAAGTCAGTTCCAGATCCTAGCCGCCCTGACTGTGAAGTAGTTCTTACGGATGTCTAATCTAAACCTACTCTCCAACAACTTGTGGCCGTTATTCCTTGTTATCCCGGGGGGGTGCTAGGGGAAACAAGGTCTCCCCCAAACCCTTCTGGTCCCCCCTAGTGAGTTTATAGATGGTCACCGGGTCCCCCCTCAGCCTTCTCTTGTGAAGCAGAACAGGTTCAGGTCTCGTAGCCTCTCATTATAGGGTCTGCCCTGCTGTCCCCTAGTGCACTCCCTACACATCGCCAATGTTTTACTACCATCCGAATGAGAAAGTTTTTCCTAATATCTAACCTAAACCTCCCTTGCTGCAACTTGAGGCCGTTGCTTCTTGTTCTGTCATCTGCCACCGCTGAGGACACTGCAGCTCCATCCTCTTTCGAACACCTCTTCAGGTAGTTGAAGGCTGCTATTAAATCCCCCCTTAGTCTTCTCTTCTCCAGACTAAATAAACCCAGCTCCCTCAGCCTCTCCTCATAAATCATGTGTCCCAACCCCCTAACTGTTTCCGTTGCCCTCTGCTGGACTCGCTCCAATTTGTCCACATCCTTTCCGTAGTGAGAGGCCCAAAACTGGACACAGTACTCCAGATGTGGCCTCACCAGTGCTAAATAGAGGGGAAGAATCACTTCCCTCGATTTGCTGGTAGCACTCCTGCCAATTCAACCCAGTATGCTGTTAACCTTCTTGGCAGCAAAGGCACACTGTTGGCTCATATTCAACTTATTGTCCACTGTAACCCCCAGGTCTTTTCTGCAGAGCTACTGTTTAGTCAGTCCCCAGCCTGTGTCAGTGCATGGGGTTGTTCCATCTTAAATGCAGTACTTTGTATTTGACCTTATTGACCTCATGAGATTTAATTTAGCCTAATCCTCCAATTTGTCAAGGTCTCTCTGAATCCTAGCTGAACCCTCCGGTGCATCTAATATTCCCCACATCTAGGTATCATCTGCAACCTTACTGAGGGTGCACACCATCCCATCTTCCAGCTCACTGATGAAGATACTGAACAAAATCAACCCCAGGACTTAACCCTGGGGCACTCCACATGATACTGGCTGCCAACTAGACATCGAGCCATTGATAACTACTTTTGAGCCTGATGATCCAGCCAGTTTTGTATCCACTTTACAGTCCATTCATCCAACCCATACTTCCTTAGCTACTTTTAAAGAATGTTGTGGGAGACTGTATCAAAAACCTTGCTAAATTCAAGGTATATCATGTCCACTGCTCTCCACACATGCACAGAGCTAGGCATCTCATCATAGAAGGCAAGCAGATTGGTCAGACTTTAATAGAGATATATATGCAGGTTTTAATCATACAGGATCTCTTTCCTTGCTTCTATCTAGAAGGAAATGTACATTTTTCTGGTAGTTAGAGGGCCGGTAGTGTCCAGTAGATAGAATATTAGAGCAAGACTCGAGAGAATTGGGCTCCATTTCCAGTTGTTCCACTGCGCTGATGGGTAACCTTGGTCAAGGCACTTCAACTTCTAAGTTGCCCCAGCTATAAAGAAGAGATAACATTACTGTCTTCATATATGAAGCACATTGAGATATACTCATAAATAGCAGTATATTAGAGCTAGAAGACATTGTTTCAATATTATTACTTTATTGCCTAGCAACAATTTATTTCTCATTTACAGAAACAGCTGGTAAATGGTTTACAGCCCTACATAAATATATAAATATGCCACTATTTGGAAATTCTAACCCAAGGTTGGCTACGAATATTCAAATCAGTTACCCTGAGTCTAATACAAGGATCCTAGCTCCTACTGCCTCGACCTTAGTATTTTCATTCATGTAGTCCACTACTTGGTCTCATCCTGTCCTCTCAGCATAAATACCTAAAGTTACTATAGTAATAATTACTTATCATGGAATCATTCCAATACAACTTCCTTTGTGATCAATTGGTAGATTTCCACTGGCTTCAGCAGAAGTTGGGTTGAGCCCAGAGTTGTACGGAGAAATAATCAATGTTTGTAAAACACTTTGAGATCCTTCAATGAAAATACTACATGCTTCAAGGGCAAAGCATTATTTTGACGTACCACATATGTAGATACTTGTATATTGCTTTATTCCAAACAGATTCAGGTGTGGTTTTCAGCCTGTCTTTCATGGTTTCCTGGTTGAATTTGCCTCCATAGAACTCATCTTCAGATTTGTACCCACAAAATCAATTGTGTTTGTAAGTCCGTAGCACAGCAAATTTAACTGCTTGTGTTGCTCCAGCATTTGAGCAGCTCTTTGTTGCAACTACTTGTGCTTGCAGTTGAACTGAATATGGGGAAAAATGGTGAGTATTCCCACATAAGAGCTTTCTGGGGGAAAAAAAAACCTGATCATACTCATATAACCCCATACTGGTGACTCAAGAATTTTCAAGGGACCTGAATTAAGAGAACTTTTTGAGTAGCCAAGTTCCCTTACAGTAGCTCTTGAGTATTACTTTCTTAATTACTTTATTGAAAGTCTCAAATAATATTCCCTCTTGCATTGTAGGGAGGTGAGTGATAGTACCACATACACATACCAGGTTGTCGTTGTTACGGGGACAACAGAGAGTGAACCTTCCCCTGCACTCGTGTACGTCTCTGGAAGTGGATACTGTGGAGATGGGATTATCCAAAGGTAAGTAGGTAGTAAATGGATAGGTAAAACCATGGTTCTCCCAGTTATCTATAGTCTGGGTTCAGAAAAGAAGTGACTGCCTTTTCTATAATAACCTCAACTGTTATAAATGGTGATTTGCTGTCTCTTATTGTCTATGATGACTCTTAGAGGGAGTGTGTTAACCAATGATCCATGTATCGATTATCAAGATGGTATTAATTTTATAGGTAAAATTATTGAGATAGTAAAACCACTCCTCCCCCTCATATGTGTATAGACACATATACGTGTACATATACAGTCCTGTATAGGTTATTTAGATTATCTATACATTAATATATATAATATGCTTACATATACATATGCAATTAGTGTTAATTTCTGACAAAAAGTGGGGCTGTTCACTGCATCTTCTGTGTTGTCATTAAATGAGAAGTCCCATGTGGCCTGGCAGCTGGTGGACGATATATCCAGTTGCCCTATGGGAGGCCAGGTTTCCAGGGCAACTTCTTAGCATGAGGTTTCTCTGTAGGCCACTAGAACTGGGATACATTTGGAAGTGACAGATTTGGGCTCCAAGGGAGAATGTTAGGTATTGCAGGTTCTCCTTTAACTCCTCCCTCTCATCCTCTGCCAAGGCATGGACCACTAGGTATAAAAATAATCATTACCAATTGCATTAGGATTTATTATTTTTACCATATTTAATTTATAGCTCATCAGCCACCTGCTCAAAGCCTCCAGGCATTTACAAAATTTAATTAATTAAATGACAAGAATAGCTACAAGTGAAGGCTCAGTCCAGCAAGCATTGTCTACTGGGTGCAGCGCTTCCTGTCTAGTCAATGGAACTCAATGTATCAAGGACAGAACCTGGCAGGAAGTGTTTGCCAGACCAAGCACTAAATCAGTTCATTCAGATAAAATAGCCACATCAGTGAAAAATGTGGGGCATATCCATTCTCAGTCACTGTATCAACTGTGGCTTTGCCAGAAGTCCTGAATTAGGGTCTGTGCAAGGTTAAACTTCCCCAGGAGCAGACCAGGAACGAGGTTCTCTCACAGTCTTATCCTCCATTGTCCCACTTGCTCTGGCCAGGGAAAATCACCTGTGCCCACCCTTTTTATCATGTTCAGGTTTTTCCTATCATGCTGGAATTACTGTCCTTTCTGGTACATTGTAGGGGCCATGCCAAGATTCTACCCATACCCCATCAACCTCTCTCCATCACCAACTGCCACCTGTAACATGTACAGCCAGTCCAGAGAAGGGGCCTCACACCTCCTCGTCCCCCACTTGGCAACTACATTGTCCAGGTCATTGTCCAGTCTGGCCCTTGTCCAGTCCTGGTCATTGTCCAGTCTGGCCCTTTGAATATGATGAACCTCATGCATTTCTCCCTTCTCAGGCTTTCTTCTCATCTTCTAAGTTGTTTTCTTTCCCACACCTGCTGGGTCACCAACCACAGCAGCCATGAAGGAAGTTGCTCAAATCCCAACCAGGGGATAATAGTGGCATGTACATGTGAGGGAGTTTGGGGGGAGGAAGCAAACTTATAACAGTAGAACTATAAATGCTGGGGATATGTAGGGCTGGGGAAAGGGGTGGAGGGGGAGGCAAGGGTTTTTAGGGTCAGAACACAATGGAATGCTCCACAATAATGAATTAAGCATTTTGGGGTTATGAGAAAGGAACTGAGGGAATGCAGAGAGCTTATACATTCAGCCATTTTTCATCAGATTCCTTTTGTGCATGTGTCCTGCCTGCAGAGACTTGGGGGAAGAATGCGATGACATGAATAAGATCAACGGTGATGGCTGCTCCCTCTTTTGCCGGCAGGAGTTATCCTTTAATTGCATTGGTAAGTCTGGTTCAGAGCTCTTTCCACCCAGGGTGGGCAGGAATAAAAAAATCAGCAGCAACCCCAGTGACTGGCCAGTGAGTTTCTGTGGAGGAGAGAAAGAAGGTGGAATTTGTGGGTTTAAAAGGTGAATGCCCTCCCCAGCTACTAGTCAATCGGATGAGAAATTGGTTCCAGTGGCGTTGTAAAAGCCTTGGACTTTTTAACCTAGTCAGCCATTGTGAGCCTGATCCAAAGCCCATTGAAGTTGGTGGGTGGTTTTCCATCAACTTTGATAGGCTTTAGATCAGGCTGCCTGAGAGGATATCAAC